AGGCAGGACCAAAGAGCCAAAGCTCAACCCCTGCAAGCACAACTAGGTGAGTACACACACAACACAGTGCACTAGCACATTACTACAACTTAACATATTACAACAACACTCGCGCTCCAAAGACATAACGCTTTCACATAACACTCACAACATACGTAGCACACAACCTTCAATCACAACCTACATAACACACTCACACCCCCACAACACAGACCATTCACAACCCACATAACACACTCACACCCCCACAACACAGACCAATCACAACCTACATAACACACTCACACCCCCACAACACAGACCATTCACAACCCACATAACACACTCACACCCCCACAACACAGACCAATCACAACCTACATAACACACTCACACCCCCACAACACAGACCAATCACAACCTACATAACACACTCACACCCCCACAACACAGACCAATCACAACCCACATAACACACTCACACCCCCACAACACAGACCAATCACAACCTACATAACACACTCACACCCCCACAACACAGACCAATCACAACCCACATAACACACTCACACCCCCACAACACAGACCATTCACAACCCACATAACACACTCACACCCCCACAACACAGACCATTCACAACCCACATAACACACAAGCTAAACCCATATAACAAAACACAACAACAACCACAACTAACATAACACAGAAAGTCACAACCTCATAACTATTACAAGACACATAATACACAACAGTCAAAACACGACAATCACAACCCCACACAACGATCATAATCCACACAACAGTGACACCAGCTGTGGCCCTCCGAGTACCAGCTGTGTTACTGAGGACCAGCTGTGTTACTGAGGACCAGCTGTGTTACTAAGGACCAGCTGTGTTACTAAGGACCAGCTGTGTTACTGAGGACCAGCTGTGTTACTGAGGACCAGCTGTGTTGCTGCGGACCAGCTGTGTTACTGAGGACCAGCTGTGTTACTGAGGACCAGCTGTGTTGCTGCGGACCAGCTGTGTTACTGCGGACCAGCTGTGTTGCTGCGGACCAGCTGTGTTACTGAGGACCAGCTGTGTTACTGAGGACCAGCTGTGTTGCTGCGGACCAGCTGTGTTACTGCGGACCAGCTGTGTTGCTGCGGACCAGCTGTGTTACTAAGGAGCAGCTGTGTCCTGGAGGACAGACACTCCGGACACAAACACAACAATGAAGGAGACAGCAATATGTGTATTGCACTAAATCAATCCGTCCTTCACACTCCATCACAATGTGTGCTCTTGACACCAAATCTCTAATTACTGTAGAGACGTTATATATAATCGTAAAGGAACCCGTCTGACGAGCAAGCCGGGAACTGACACGATGAAGAGTGCATAGAGCGGTTCACGAGACGTTATGCACGACATTCTTCCTAATGTCTGGGACGAAATAATCTATGGCCTTGATGACCTGCGGGCTACCAATGGGGCTCACGTGAAAGTTTACTAAATTCTGGTTTACTGGTTTACTGACTGGACTGTGGTAGTTTGCTTCAAATATAAATATCTTGAGTGGTGTTATTAGTTACCGGAAACTGTTTTCCCATAATTTGTAAGATATTTAATTTGTTTAGCCCATATAATGGGGTGAATAAACATTAGACTCTCTGAATATCTGTCTATATTTACTGTGAGGCTGAACTGATCAAATAGGCTATGAAGCAGTGTGAACAAAATGTATATTTGTATAGATAATATAAGAACCATATCAATATATATTTAATGAATGAAACGGACTGTTGATAAAATGCGTTACAGGCGAGAAAGATTATGTGGGTGAAATATTGCTACGTAAGAGGTTCTGTTGGTGAAATATCGCAACACAAGAGATCTGTTGGTGAAATATCGCAACACAAGAGGTTCTGTTGGTGAAATATCGCTACACAAGAGGTTCTGTTGGTGAAATATCGCTACACAAGAGGTTCTGTTGGTGAAATATCGCTACAGAAGAGGTTCTGTTGGTGAAATATCGCAACACAAGAGGTTCTGTTGGTGAAATATCGCTACAGAAGAGGTTCTGTTGGTGAAATATCGCTACACAAGAGGTTCTGTTGGTAAACCACCTGAACAACAGAGTATCCAGCAACACGTGTTCTCGCTGACATATGATATTACCATCGCGATTATGGTCACGTATCCACCTCAAGTTGTACCTCCCTCGCCTCACACAGTGCAATAACTTCACAATACACAAGTGAGTCCAGGTGCACCGAGCACCACAAACCATCCTTCAGGACACCGAAGATTGACTACTCTACCAACTACACAATATGTCACCCTGGCGCATCAAGTTGGAGAAAGAAAGGAGCTTATGTCTTTCTGTTGCATCTGTGAATGGCGTCGATGGAGCCACACACACACACAAGCAGGTGTTGCTGCTATCACAGCCAAGACTCCCTGTAGGGAGGGTTATCTTATTGGTAGTTACTTCACGCACCATGTGATCTTGATCAAATAAGATCTTAAGTGGTATTCATTATGACAAGTTTCTCTCTCGCGACGTGAAGACACGACAGCAGGAACATAATAGTCACTGCACCTCACTCTGGCCACCTTTTCTCAGCGGCGTGAGCTCCCTACACACACACACACAGCGATGTTCCTGGCATCAACACCTACAACTGCCGCTGTCAACAGTCGCACTTGTTCCCCCACATGAACTGGGAACTCAACGTTTACTGTTAACAATACCAAGCAAATGTTGATTCGGCAGGCACACTGTTGTGTCAAGGCCTCACGCCGCGAGAGAGGTTAGGACCTGTCGCTTGGAGAAGGTGGGGCGGGGTGCTGAAGGCGGGGCGGGGTGCAGGTGGGGCGAGGTGCTGAAGGCGGGGCGGGGTGCAGGTGGGGCGAGGTGCTGAAGGCGGGGCGGGGTGCAGGTGGGGCGGGGTGCTGAAGGCGGGGCGGGGTGCAGGTGGGGCGGGGTGCTGAAGGCGGCCCGCGAGGACTTGACGTGCCGGGGCCAGGAGGTGGGTGTCGGAGGCGCCAGAGTGACAAACCACAAGTATTACTTACCTTTGCTGCCACCAGACGTCCAGCGAAGAGACTGACCGTCACATCTACTTATAACTGGCTTAGAGAATTAGTCAGTAAAGTGGTAATGGTATGTCTTTAGGTATATTCCCATCCTCCCGCCATCCCTCACTATGCCTGCACCGTGGTGTGTACCTCTCCTGTCCTCCTATACCGTGGTGTGTACCTCTCCCGCCCTCCTATACCGTGGTGTGTACCTCTCCCGTCCTCCTATACCGTGGTGTGTACCTCTCCCGCCCTCCCTCACTACCGTTGTACCGTGTCCTGTAACTCCGACGTTGTTTCTCCTACCCAGCATCATCGGAGCTGTACCGCGGTGCGTACCTCCTCATACCTACTAGTCTTTCGCCTACACCTTTACTGTACACGTATACCGCCGTGTGTACGTGTCGCGTGTGCACCTAGAAACACGCACAAGACTGTGTGTGTACGCGCGACGCTGTGTTCACTCTCTCACAGGCAGAGGCCATTTGCCAATCGGGTTATTCCTAGATAATTACACCAAATTTGATCTGATCAAAGCAATTGACAGTGGCAATGTTAAAGAGCCATAACGAATGAATTTAGTGGATGAGCCAATGAGTTAAGAGAAGTTACTTTAGCGAGTTGAGACACGAGCGAGACGGCAGGGGTACCCTATCCCAACATTCAGGCTCCTTGTTCACCACCAGCGGCATCCCCAGACACACCTCACACCAGCCGACATATATTACCATTTGTCAATATATTTCATGACAGCTTAGCGTCCAGACTGTTGTGAAAATGTCTTTCCAAGGATGTCACTGGTTTGTCATATATACACACAATATATGTCAAGAGTTGCAAAATATCTAATTACTTTACTTCAAAATATAATTACTTTACTTCAAAATATAATTACTTTACTTCAAAATATAATTACTTTACTTCAAAATATAATTACTTTACTTCAAAATACTTCACTATTTCAAAATTTAAGTTACTTTTCAAGCAAAACTGTAAACAAATTGATACAGCTATATGCAGTATAATCTGAGGTTACTATATTATGACAATACAGTTTTATATGACTAAAAGAATTGTATTCAACAGGTAATATTACGTTACTTTATTGTATTAATGATAAACATACATGGTAAATGATCATGCACAAAATACTTCCTCCCTCTATATTGCTTCTCCCCAGCCTACCCTACCCTCCCCCAAGCCTAACTTCCCATCTCCCCAGCCTCCCCTCCCACAAGCCTAACCTCCCCTCTCCCCAGCCTCCTTTCCCATCTTCTTACCCTTCTCTCCCATCTTCCCAGCCTTGTATCTCATTTTCCTTACCTCTTCTCCCCTATCCTATACCATCTTCCCACCATCCTATCCCATCTTACCAGCCTCCTCCCTATCTCTCCAGATTCCTGTACCAGCTCCCAGCTTCCTCTACCATCTCTCCACCCATTTATTAACTTTTTTCCCCACATCAGTAACCCTTATCTCTCACCAATACCCCTTAATCATCCTCAGTAACCCTTATCCCTTATAAATATCTCTTATTCCTGGTCAATAATCCTTCTCTCTCCCTACTACCCATTTATTTTCAACTCAACTACTTTCCCTTTTAACCCTGCATTCTAGACTACTCACCACTGACTGTCTATTCTGAACAGTCTACCCTCTGTTCCTCGCGCTTTCCTGCTCACCCCCATCTGTCCGTTCCAAAATACTCCCACCCATTATTGTCCGCCCTTGACTGTATACTTCTGACTGCCCTCAAACTGGCCTGCTGAGATCTGTCCTCCTCTCCTTTTCTGCCTACACCATCTTCCTGATGTTCATCGTTGGCTGCCTACATAATAGGTGCTGAAGCCTATACCTGGCTGCCTGTCACGAGCTGCCAACCCACCCTCTGGCTGTCTACCAACGGCTGCCCACCCCCCTGGCTGCCCACTTTGGTTGTGGGATAGGGACCTACCGGAGATGACAAGTCGGCCAGCAGTAGCAGAGAGGCGGGTCTCCTGGGTGAGGCGGTGGACAGTTCGACACTTGTAGCTTTTGAAGCCATCTTCAGAGTTGACGTTTCGGATGTGTAGCTCGCCAGAGGGCAGCACCAGGTACTTGCCGTCTGAGGGTACACACACACACCAGCGTTATTACAATGTCCTCGCAGCCTGCTGCCGCTCACACCTGCTTGATTCCATCATGGGTCCCACTGGTCTCATAGGTACCCACGAAAGATCCCAAAGGAGTCCCAGAGGGGTCCTACGAGGGTTCACATGAGTCCCCGTGAGGGTCCCAACAGGTGTTGCGCTCAGCTCTCACGGCTAACACCTCCTCCTGGACTTTTATATTGACCCACGAGTCTCTACACTACCCGTCCTTGTCGCAGCAAAATGTTTTACTGACTTTACAAATACTTTACACTATGTTGATCTGTCAGGTATCGCTGACTCATACAATTGTCTCCTCTATATTATATTTCCTTGGCACATGATTGTACTCTTGTAATGAGACTGTATAAGAATATTATTGTGATATCAAATAATGAAGCTTAGCAACAGGTAATCTAAATAGCCCAGAAGACCGGTGATGATCCGCAGCAACCATGTGATGGCTGGCAGACATCACGATATGTTGTGTCTTCACACATCTTCTTTACCTTACTTCAGGACCTTAACTTTAACTGTTTCTTAATAGCAAATATCACTACAAATATTCATTTATTTAAAAAATCTCAAGTATACTAGTTATTTTATACAAATTTTACATTCTAGTGTAAAAATCAGCAGCACATAAGTTTAGTTATGTAAGTAAAAGTCCAGGAAGAGAGCTACCCGTGTATATAGCCTCAAGATTAACCTCATCACAGCTTCAGTTTTAACGACACCAGACAGCGGATGTCTGCACCCTGCACAGCGTCAGCATTGAGTGATCAACCAGGCTGTGTTGCTAGCCATTGCCCCGCCCACTAACTCAAAGTCCCACCCACTTCCTGCTCCTGCTGCTGAGACCTCTCACCACCTCTCCACCCGCCCTCCACGGTCTCTGGCTCCGCCCACATCCGTCCCGGTCTGGTCTCTACCGTGGTAGCAGGAGACGAGAGGTTTTGAGAGGCTTGAAATAGGCGTTTAAAAACCTTTTTATAATTACATAAACCCCCGCTATGAACCTATCTTATGAAAGTGAAGCTGTGATGGCAACAAATAATATTTTATTTAATTTATTTATGAAAAATATTAGCTGTAAAGCTTGCCATGTTACTGAAGACGTCACACGCAACACACCACCTGACAAGGAACACGACAAGGAACACTCTAAGCTTCTAAGTTATCATCAACACATTTGAGTTTTCTAATTTGCAAAAACAGTTACTTTGGAACTGATGACGATGGAGCTCAAAAACAAAATATTTTTTTTTTAGTGAACGTCAGGTGTGTGGGGCAATGTGTGTGTGTGGCGAGGCGACCTTGACAGCTTTGACCCGCCATCACCACACCACAAACATGGCAACCTTCCTGCTGGAGAGTACGACAGAGGCCACTCAAGATCCTCCACGTGTCTCCAACACAAACTTCCTGCTGGAGGACACGTAACTCACCCTCCAACACAAACTTCCTGCTGGAGGACACGTAACTCACCCTCCAACACAAACTTCCTGCTGGAGGGCACGTAACTCACCCTCCAACACAAACTTCCTGCTGGAGGGCACGTAACTCACCCCTCCAACACAAACTTCCTGCTGGAGGGCACGTAACTCACCCTCCAACACAAACTTCCTGCTGGAGGGCACGTAACTCATCCTCCAACACAAACTTCCTGCTGGAGGGCACGTAACTCACCCTCCAACACAAACTTCCTGCTGGAGGGCACGTAACTCACCCCTCCAACACAAACTTCCTGCTGGAGGACACGTAACTCATCCTCCAACACAAACTTCCTGCTGGAGGACACGTAACTCACCCCTCCAACACAAACTTCCTGCTGGAGGGCACGTAACTCACCCTCCAACACAAACTTCCTGCTGGAGGGCACGTAACTCACCCCTCCAACACAAACTTCCTGCTGGAGGGCACGTAACTCACCCCTCCAACACAAACTTCCTGCTGGAGGGCACGTAACTCACCCTCCAACACAAACTTCCTGCTGGAGGACACGTAACTCATCCTCCAACACAAACTTCCTGCTGGAGGGCACGTAACTCACCCTCCAACACAAACTTCCTGCTGGAGGACACGTAACTCATCCTCCAACACAAACTTCCTGCTGGAGGACACGTAACTCATCCTCCAACACAAACTTCCTGCTGGAGGGCACGTAACTCACCCTCCAACACAAACTTCCTGCTGGAGGGCACGTAACTCATCCTCCAACACAAACTTCCTGCTGGAGGGCACGTAACTCACCCTCCAACACAAACTTCCTGCTGGAGGGCACGTAACTCATCCTCCAACACAAACTTCCTGCTGGAGGGCACGTAACTCACCCCTCCAACACAAACTTCCTGCTGGAGGGCACGTAACTCACCCTCCAACACAAACTTCCTGCTGGAGGGCACGTAACTCACCCTCCAACACAAACTTACTCTAAAATCCTAACCTAAAACATTCATCAAAATGATTATATATCTTGAAAATTTTAATTTTATTAGCAAGTTTAATTAATCAGGAAAGTTACTTTAAAATATATTCTTCAAGCTAATGCAACCTCCAAACATACATTTGAAATTTTACTGTTTACTTTACTGTGTAAGTCAATATAATTTGTAAGTTTAACGAGAGTTAAATTACTAATATTTATCAAGCAAATAAAATGCAAATGAGTTACAACTTTAATTTAAATATATTGTACTATTTATAACTGAATATATATTCAAAGAACAAGCAAGAAACAGACATTATATAACAGAAATAACAAGTACAAAACTACAAGTACAAACCAACAAGTGTTTACTATAAGTGGGGAGAAAATGATGGTAAACTAAATGCTTTTAGCTGTCGATATTCCATTTAAAAGATTACATTTTATTAAATCAGTGTGCATGCACCACCATTCTCTCCCACTGACAACACGGAAATTCATATAGAATACATTATATTTATCATATGTAAGGTCATATAATATAACAAGGTTATAGCCGGTGATGGTGGTGGTGATCGCTGCTTCTCCAACACTCGCCCGCATCCACCACCACCACCATGTTCTCCCTCTGCATTAGGGAGAGACAATGTTCACCAACAACAGTATAAATAACAATTAAGAACATAACTACACGGAGTAAAATAAGCATGACGTCAATCCGCCGGAAATGGGGCAGCAACGCACCTTCCGGCCGGCTGTCCCTGGCTCCTAGGCTAAAACATAATTACCCTTACATCCCACGTCAGTGATTGTCTGCAGTTGAGAGCAGAGTATAGTATACACCACTGGTGCCAGCAGTCCTCCGGCCACGCTTCGCCCGAAGTGTTAAAAAGCTAGATTAACAAAACATGAGATCATGTGTATAGGGTTTGCCAGCTCACCCAGTAGGGCCAAGGCAGGTCGGGCCGACGTCACTCTGAGGCCAGTGAAAGACAACTAGACATAATAAAGAGTCAAGGAGAGACATGGTCGAGGGAGTCACATGTATCGCCAGATGAGGGGCTGACACATCTTAACAACAGCGACACAGAATGCTGCAACACAAGATATACACTCAACCAGTAACGTGTGTGACGGTAAAAATAACCCGTCTGTTGTCCGCCATTAGCACCATGAGACAGGTGTCGGGTGGCGCTCACATCATCCGTCTGGCAGCTCCCACTACCTCAATTATTAACCTGTGAGCAAACTTGTGAGTAGGTACCCGAGCGGGAGGGGGAGGGGGATCAAATACACTTTCCTCTATGGAGTAAATCACAATAAAATCACAGCTTGAAATGACTGTCCACTCCTTGAACCAAAATATAAAATATGACTTGTGAGGAAGATGTGTTGGATGTACAGCACACGGGAGGTGTGGTGCTTCCCGTGTAGGCTACCCCCGTGTGGCTGCCACACGGGGATCACGGAGAGGTGTTGGGTGTTTGACACCACGGTACAGTGTATATTTCCTCGAGCAAATCAAGAGTAAGTTCTGAGAGTTCTACTTCCCAAGCCCAGCCTCAGCAGGCTTGACTTGTGATAACTTGGTCCAATAGGCTGTTGCTTGGAGCGGCCCGCAGGCCCATATATCCACAACAACCCGGCTGGTCTGGCACTTCTTACAGAAACTTGTCAAATTACTTCTTGAACACACCCACTCTTGTTCCGGCAGGAATTTCTTACGCTCGCTGTGAGGATATTGAATAGCCGTAGGCCTCTCCTGTTTATACAGCTTATGGCACCACTCTTCACTGGCCCTATGCTGCATATCCTGCCATATCGTTCGCTTAAGTATGATGTTATTGAACTGTGCAAATTTGGGACTTAACCAGTATTTTCCGTATATATATTATTTGATACCTCTCGTCTCCTTTCAACAGTGAGCATTTTGAGAGCTTTGAAACGGTTCCAATAATTTAGGTGCTTTATCGTGTCCATGTGTGCCGTATATGTTTTCTGTATTCCCTTAATTTCAGAAATCTCTCCTGGTTGGAAAGCGGTGAGTGAATACTGAGCAGTACTCAATGCGGAACAGCACAAGTGATTTGAATGGGATGAGCATTGTGGTGAAATTACCTGGATTTGAAGGTTCTCTTGATCCATCCTATCATTTTCCTGGCTGTTGCTATAATTGCTTTGTTATGCTCGCTAGACGTTGGGTCGTCTGACATTATTGTTCCCAGATATTTTTACATGTCGTTTTCCTTCTATGAGGAGATCTGAGTCTTGTATCTTTTAAATACAGGGTCTTGTACCCTGTGTTTCGTTTTTCTTAATTTTTACCATACCCAATTGTCTGGAATTAAACATCATGCTATTTTCTTGTCCAATCGAATACTTTATTGGTATTGGCTTGACGCTTTCAAAGCCTTCTACAGAAGAAATTTTAAGGCAGATTTTTGTATTGTCTGCAAAGAATGACACGAAGCTGTGACTTATAATTTTGTCTATATCTGAAATGACAATGATAAAACGCAGTGCTGCAAGGATTGTTCCCTCGGGTAC